TGTCATGTTTCTGTGCTGCTGTGCATGCAAAAGTACTTAGCATGAGAATTATTTCATGCAAAACTTTTTTTTTTGCGTTTTATTTAGCCGCGCAGAAATGTATGCCTATCTCTCATTCCGTGTTGTTCAAAAAGCTCATTGTTGGTCCACAAACAAAAGTGAAACCTATGCTTATTGGTTGTGATATAGCGAGTTTGAACCAATCTGGGCATGGAGGAGGGACAATGCATCAATGTATCATGTCTGGTTTGTCCGGAGACACAGTGACGAGCGTTTCTTTGTCAAATCAGCGTTGTCAAATTTTGATGACGTAACCGCACTGATTCCGGAGCCTCTGAAAGTTCCCGAATGTTATGTGATACAGCACTGGAAAGCTGAGATTCTCTTCTTTATGCCAATCTTTGAATTGTATGAATCGGATCAGCGGATCAAAAGTTATTAAACATTTAAGAGCAATACTTATTTTTAGCCGCGGGCGGCTGTCTCGGTCTTTAAGGGTTAAAACCGTTGATATGCAATTGTTCATGGTATGATAATCGTGCACGTTCAAATCGTGGTAGACAGTCATACCGGTATATTGTTACAACCCTAACTGTGGTCATAAAGTGGTCTATCCTACAGTGTCGAAGAAAATAACTGTGACGAAGCTCAAAGTCTGATCCAATTTTGATCGTGATTGTTTAAATATATAATTTACAGGCTTTTTTATAGTGCGCTTCAGAAAAAAATGTAACTCATAAACGATACTTATCTTCAATTAGTACTAAGCAGTGACCGCAAAGTTAAAAGAAATAATATTTGTTCTAATTTATTTATTTTTGCAGTGTGGTGGTGGAATGGTCATCATTTTTGGCCACTGAAAATAAGCAGAAAATGCAATTGGATGAAAGTGAAAAATGACCAGCACTGTGTTCACTCTCCCTCCAGTCACAATCACTGTGTCATCTGAAGCAGCTTTCACACTGGACGCAGAAAGCACTGTGCTATAAAACCTACTCATTTCAATGGCTTGTATATGATACATATACAGCATATAGACCTGTCTCCAGTCCTTGAAGTTAATGTAGAATTCTCATTCACAGTCTTAAAATTTTAATCAAGATCTATAATTTACATTGCGAGTATCAGAGTTCTCATCAGGAGTTCCTCCCCCTCCACAGTGTTCAGTTTTCTGCTCAGGTTTAGTCAGAGTCCCGCAGCGTCTGAATGTGGGCCGGCTGAGTGTCTCATTCTCTCACAGCATTTCTATGAAGAGTGAGCGGTTGCTGCGCAGCATCGTTTGTTAGTGTCATTGAGGGACTGCCTGAGGATTCCTGGTGACCCCAAGGGTTGGGCCGGCCCCCTCTCACAATGGGCCGACCCGTTCCAGAGTCCCAGCACTGCTTTTGTTGCTGCACTCATATATCAAACGCTTTCTGCTGCCAGCGGCTCCAACAATGACTCTCAAACACTCACATCAAAGAGCCAGCGCAGTTCTGTGAGTTCAGCAAGATGAGAACAAACCCCAAAACACTTCTGCTCTCATCCAATTTTTCTCACTTTGTCTGTGTGTGTGTGTGTGTGAGTGTGTGTGAGTGTGTGTGTGCTTGTTTCTTGTCGTATGTGACAAAAAGTATTAATCTTCCTGTGTAATTTACAGTTAAAAAGTATGCGCTTATTAACAGATTCCTATAGTTTGTGGTTGATGGATGTTTTCCATTTATGCTTTATTTATGGACATCAGTCTCTGCTTTAACCAACTTTTAATGTTGAAAACTTACAGTAAAAAAAAAAAAAAAAAGGAATTTTTTAAATGGAGTATTATATTGTAATGACCGTTTACTTTTTGTACCATAACTTACGAATTGATGTATTTTTAAATCGTGTTTTGAACTTTAAAAAATTGGATTTGTGTATTTATAAATTGTGTTTTTAAGCTATGAGTTGAATTTGTGTATTATGATTTTTTTTTGAACTAACGAAATGTATTTGTGTATTTACGAATTGTGTGTTGAATTCACTAACGTTTTGTGTATTTATAAATCGTGTTTTTAAATTACGAGTTGGTTTGTGTACTTACAAATCATGTTTTGAATTTACGCATTTGATTTGTGTATTTTTGAATCATGTTTTGACTTTAACAATTGGATTTGTGTATTATTAAACTGTGTTTTAAACTTACAAATCGGATTTGTGTATTTTTGAATCGTGTTTTGAAATTACGAATAGGATTTGTGGATTTACGAATCGTGTTTTGAACTTACGAATTGGATTTGTGTGTTTTTAAATTGTCTTTTAAAATTTATTAATTGGATTTGTGTATTTTTAAATCGTGTTTTGAAGTCACGTATTGGATTTGTGTATTTACGAATTGTGTTTTGTATTCCCTATTTGGATTTGTGTGTTTAAGAATCATTTTTTAAATTTACAAATTTAATTTGTGTGTTTTCAAATTGTATTTTGAAGTCACGAATTGGATTTGTGTATTTACGAATTGTGTTTTGTATTCCCTAATTGGATTTGTGTGCTTAAGAATGTTTTTTTAGTTTACTAATTGAATTTGCGTGTTTTTAAATCGTGTTTAGAATTTACAAATTGGATGTGTGTGTTTACGAATCGGGTTTTGAAGTTACGAATTGGATTTGTGTGTTTTTTTTAAATCGTGTTTTGAAGTTACGAATTGGATTTGTGTGTTTCTAAATCGTGTTTTGAAGTTACGAATTGGATTTGTTTGTTTTTAAATCGTGCTTTGAAGTTACAAATTGGATTTGTGTGTTTTTAAATTGTGTTTTGAAGTTACGAATTATATTTGTGTGTTTTTAAATTGTGTTTTGAAGTTATGAATTGGATTTGTGTATTTACGAATTGTGCTTTGTATTCACTAATTGGATGTGTGTGTTTACGAATTAGGTTTTGAACTTACAAATTAGATTTGTGTGTTTTTAAATCATGTTTTTTTAATTTACAAATTGGATTTGTGTGTTTACGAATCGGGTTTTAAACTTACGAATTGGATTTGTGTATTTACAAACTGTTTTAAACTTAGAAATTGGATTTGTGTGTTTATGAGTCATGTTTGAATTCACAAACTGGATTGTGTAAATGTGAATTGAGTTTTGACTGTATAAATTCTATTTGGAAATGTATTATTTATGAGACTGATATGGCTCCATAAAAAAAAAACTCTCAATTAGTGCATAATTCTAATGTGTTTTTTGTATCGTGTGATGTGCAGGACTGTATCAGGACTCAATTTCACGGCTCTCTTGAATCACGTCTAATCCAAAAGACAGTGTGAAATCTATGCAAATTCAGCCCAAATTGTTGTTAGACGCTGTGAGAGGCGACCTGCGAATCCAGAGACGCTTCTGTCCTGCTGTGTGTTTCTGAATTAAAGAGCCAATGATCTGACTGTGATATGTCCTTCATCTGTTCACCACAGGTCCTTCATCTTTTCACAGACACACACATACACACACACACACACACACACACACACACACACACACACACACACACACACACACACACACACACACACACACCTTTGATTTCTCTACTTGTATTTCTCTACTTCTACAGTATAGAAACTGATCACACCCAATTTCTTGTTATTTTTCTTCTTGTGTGTTTGGTTTATTGATGATCAGTTTGTCATTATAAAAGGAAAAGAAGTCGTTCATTTTTGTAATGCTGTAGTATTGATCAGCGATGCTGCGTAGTGTTATTGTTACACACAAATATCTGGCCTTCGAATGCTGCAATTTAAAGAGAAAGTGTTTCAGTGATACACAATTTGGAGGGGAGAACATGTTTTCTTTTATTTCTTTATAATCTTTTGAATAAAATTGTAAATGATTTGTTTTAAATAAGACTTTGTTTGTTGTAAGTTTATTATTTGAATGTTATATTAAGGATAATTAATAGTAGAAATTTTGAACAAGTAAATATTATAATTCAACTGTAAAAAAAACAAATGTTTAATAAAAACAATTTATCATTATTATTATTATTATTATTATTAGTAGTAGTAGTAGTAGTATTGTTATTGATATTATTATTATTATTATTATTATTATTATTAGAAGTATTGTTATTGTTGTTATTATTAGTATTGTTATTACTATTATTATTATAAGTATTATTATTTTTATTATTATTATTATTATCATCATTATTATTAATGGTACTAGTATAAATTTTTTTTTAAATAAATATTAACACTTGTAATATAATTTTAATTTAATATGAAATGGATAGTAGTAGTAATAATAATAATAATAATAATAATAATAATAATAATTGTTATTATAATAATGGGTTGTTAATGTAATTTTATATATATTTATATATTTTTATAAAGCAATAAAGATTACCATTTTAAATATAAGTTTACTAAAAACAAAAGATAATATAAAATAATTATAATAGTAATTATAATAATAACAGATAATTTATTATACATTAATAATAATTGTATTAAATATAATAAAAACATAGTTTGCTGTTATAATTAGACTAAATGCATAATATTATTGTAATTTACTGTTGAATAAAAAATATCTAACACTAATAATATTTAATAAAAGTATTTATTTTGCAGTACAACTCTTCACTGCGCTGCTGCAAATAAATCACAGATTAACCATAATTTTGGTGTTATGTTCAGCCTTAATTAAAAACAGCTTCATATTTCATTTTTGATTCTTTCATTCTGTAAACAATTTTTTTCTGATTATATTATGCTGTTATTATAAGTAGGTTAAATACACAATATAATATAATATATATAATATAAATTACTGTAAAATAAAGAATATCCAACACCAATAATATTTTATAATTGTATTGATTTTTACAGTACTTTAAAAATTATACAGACTGCAGCTGCAATTAAATAGCAATTTTTTTGACTGTTGACTGTTGAGCCCTAATTAAATATAGCTCCAAATTCCACAACACTATTTTGATTCTTCCATGTAAGCAGTTTTTCCTGACTCTTCATATTTGTGTCATTTCAGATATCCACTGGGAAACCTTCGCAATGATTACCTGTCAATCACTGCAGACCGCGGCCCTGGCAGCTGCATATGACCCGTCAAAGTGAGCAAGAGGGCGGAGCCAGTCTGATGACAGACAGCAGAGACGTCCAATCAAATTCAGAGTGCCTCATCTCCTCTCCGCCTCAGCGATGGTCACATAAATGCACAGAAACATTCCTGTATCGTCAACATGTAGATTGATTGTTTTCCTGTTAACCGTTTGATTATTAATTTATTAGTGTGATGCTCTGCGTTTTCCGCCTGCGCCGTCTTGTTCGCCAGGTGCCGCTACACACCAGCTTCCTCTTTCTCTTCCTCCTCTGCGTCCTCAGCGTTTTCCTCTCCTCATATTTCCTGTATGCCGTCAAGCGAGAGCTCGAACCATCAGCCATAGGAGGACATGCTGCTGCCGGTGACCTCTACGTCACCCCTTCTCGAACCCTCTCCTTTATGGGCGGGACTTTTTCCTCTGATGGCTCACGGACGGATCCGGTGGTGCTGGTGTTCGTGGAGAGCCAGTATTCCCATCTGGGACAGGAGATTGTGGCCATCCTGGAGTCGGCTCGGTTCCGCTATCGGACAGAGATTTCGCCGGGGAAAGGGGACATGCCTACTTTGATGGAGGGACGGAGGGGACGCTTTATTCTTATCGTGTATGAAAACATCCTGAAGTATGTGAACATGGACGCCTGGAACAGGGAGCTGCTGGACAGATACTGCATCGAGTTTGGAGTCGGAATTATCGGCTTCTTTAAGGTAAGGAATAATATGAGTCTGAAAAATTTGTTCAGACATCCACAACACAGTGAAAAAATTCAACTCATATATTCAAAACATTAATCGTAATTATGCAAACACAATTCGTAATTTCAAAACACAATTCACAAATACCCAAATACAATTCTTCATTTCAAAAAACGATTCGTAAATACACAAATACAAGTCATAAATTCAAAACAGGATTCGTAATTACAAAATTACAATTCGTAAATTTAATACACGATTTATAATAACACAAATACAATTCATGAATTCAAAACACGATTTGTAAATATACAAATACAATTCATGAATTCAAAACACAATTCGTGAATACACAAATACAGTTTGTAAATTCAAAACACGATTCGTAAATGCATAAATACAATTCGGAAATTCAAAACATGATTCCTAATTACACAAATACAATTTGTAAATTCAAAACACGATTCGTAAATACACAAACACAGTTCGTAAATTCAAAACACGATTCGTAAATACATAAATACAATCTGTAAATTTAAAACACAATTCGTAATTACACAAATACAATTTATAAATTCAAAAAACGTTTCGTAACTACACAAATAGAATTCAAAAAAATTTAAACAGGATTCGTAAATAGTCACACACAATTCGTAAATTCAAAACATGATTCGTCAATCCACAAATACGATTTGTAAATTCAAAACACGATTTGTAATTATACAAATAAAATACGTAAATTCCAAACATGATTCGTAACTACACAAATACAATTCGTAAATTCAAAACAAGATTCGTCAATACACAAATGCAATACGTAAATACAAAACACTTCGTAATTACACAAATACAATTAAAAAAATTCAAAACACAATTCGTAAATACACAAATCCAATTCGTAAATTCAAAACACGATTCATAAATACACAAATACAATTCGGAATTTCAAAACACGATTCTTAAATACAAAAATACAATTCGTAAATTCAACACACGATTCGTAATTTCACAAATACAATACGTAAATTCAAAACATGATTCGTAAATACACAACAAATGATTTTGTTGTAAATAGCATGACTGCATTTGTGATATTAATTATAAACCAGAGTATTTAGTTTTATTTAATGTTTTATTATTTACTTTTTTCTCCCTAATGACCATAATACCAGCAAAGGTTGTAAGTTTTTAGCATGTTGTCTGATGTCACTTCCTGTCTGTGGCTAGGCCAATGAGAACAGTCTGTCGAGCGCACAGCTGAAAGGCTTCCCTCTGTTCCTGCGCTCCAACCTGGGACTGAAGGACTGCAGCATCAACCCCAAATCCCCACTGCTGCACATCACACGAGCACAGCAGGTCAGAATAGCAGCCAGACTTTATTTTCAGAGT